GTTTGTACCTGTATCACTCCTTATCATCTATACGAGCTCAAAGGAGTGATACATTCCCTTAAACCATCAATCAAGCAATTTCCATGCATGATGGCTAAGGGACCAATTTGTACAAGTTTAATGAGTGCAAAACAAGACTCAAATGCCATCACCCTATCATGCATGATCAAGGGCAATGGAGACCTAGGAAAGTGGCACATTTAATCACTTTTGAGTATGAAATGTCACATTTTCCTTATGTTCAAATTAACGTCCGATTTGAACACATGCAATGCAACACAAAGAATGTTTATCTTGCCGCTTTTAATTGCCAATTTTGTTTACACATTTTAGTTACCAAATCATCCTTTAATCAATTTGTCCATTGGTGAGTGTCTTCTAAGATGAAAGAAGTGTCAACCAAGGGATAATGTAAGGCAAGAGAGAGATCATGTCGTTGATAATGAACCCTTAAAGAGGATTAAATCATTAAATATGACCTGAATCTCAAGCTTAGAAGATACCAAGTTTGAAACAAACCTCAAAAGCAAACGAAAGAGTGAAGCAAAGAGGGAGGTTGCAGAGTTTATAGTGCTGAAATGGAGTGAAAAACAACACCAAAAGATGCTATCAACTCAAACAAGAGGTGTCCAAGACGCTAAAACACCAACTCGTGAGGACTATTACACTACAACCATGCAAAATAAGACTCCAATGAACTAACCAACCCAAAATAGAACTAAAACAGGCTATTTCAGAGGCTAAAACATGCTGGACTTGAGCTAAGTTAAGCTAGAAAAACCTGCTAACATATGGAGCTAACTAAGCATGCAAACAAGACACAAGGAGGGGAGGCTAACCCTCCAAATTTGGACTTCAAAATGATTTTTTTGCCACTGAGAAACCTCTGAAATTTAGTGGTTAAAAGGCCCAAAAAATTTGGTTTGAAATTGGTGAACAAAGGTACAAAAGCTTTACAAACAAAGAAGAGAGAATGATGAACCACCCCCTAACTGAAAATGGCCTCAAACCACCTCCTTTAGACCACAAAAACAGAGTTTTTTACAGTTCAAAATCAGTCCAAAAAATAGTTGAAAGAGTTGGAAAAACAAGCATGCAAAACAAGTGTAAAAGGGAAGTGCTATACCTCTTGAAGCAAGCAAAAATTCTAGGCACAAAGTCAAATCAAAAACACCTTCTAAAGCTCCAAGAAGGCTTCTAAGGACCTCAACTCAAATGTGATCAAGTTTAATTAAGGAAGTATATGCAAAAGTCTAGGACTTGGGAGCAAATGTATACAAAATTGCAAGAGAGATAGAGAAATCGAGAGAGACAGAGAGAAGAGTTAGAAAAACAAGCATGCAAAACAAGTGTAAAAGGGAAGTGCTATACCTCTTGAAGCAAGCAAAAATTCTAGGCACAAAGTCAAATCAAAAACACCTTCTAAAGCTCCAAGAAGGCTTCTAAGGACCTCAACTCAAAGGTGATCAAGTTTGATTAAGGAAGTATATGCAAAAGTCTAGGACTTGTGAGCAAATGTATACAAAATTGCAAGAGAGATAGAGAAATCGAGAGAGAGAGAGAGAGAGAGAGAGAGAATTTTGCTCCAAAATTTTCTAACCCTCTACAATGGGGGAGAAGGTCCCATATTTATAGAAAAACAAGCTTTCAATTGAGTTATATCAGTCCATACACGTGCATGGTGATTAAGCCCATTGTGCCAACAGCTGGAACAACTATCAAGAAAATATCTGCAAAGAGGTATCAATGGCTGGCATGCCACTAATGTGGCCGGCCATCGGCCAGCCAGCCACCAGTGATGGCCGGTAGGCCACTTGGGTGGCCAGCAGCCACCAAGGGTTGCAGACTTGAAGATGTTGGTCCAAAACAAGGCACATAATGGATGGGAGTTTGAAGGCTTAACGACAGGGCATTCCGCCAAGAACTTCGGGCACCAAAACGAGCACAAATAGCCACAATCATCATGTGCACAAATGATGACGTCCAAGTCTTGAGAACGGTCAAAAATAGGGTATCTACAGTAATCTATCGAGTCACTCACGTGCATAGGTACAAAGTGCACTAACTTAGTAAACTGATCAACTATCACCCAAATGGCATTGTTATCCCGTTGAGTTCTCGGAAAACCCACAACAAAATCCATCATAACATGCTCCCACTTTCACTCAGCTATAGGCAAGGGTTGCAACAAACCCGCTGGCCTATGATGCTTGGCCTTCACTTGTTGACAAATAAGGTACCTCGACACAAACACGACTACGTCCTTCTTCATCCCCTTCAACCAAAACTGGCAACTAAGGTCATGATACATCTTTGTGCCTCCTAGATGCACCGCAAAGTGTGATTGGTAAAACTCTCAAAGTACCTCCTCTCGACAAGACTCCAGCACGAAAAGACAGTCAAAATATTTAACACTCGAGTCATAATACATGTTTAAGCCCTTTTCCACCTTCTCACTAGATATCTTCTCTTGGAGGGTTTCTACCTCAAGGTCACCCCTCTGTGCTTCTATAACTCGACTCACAAGTGTAGGTTGTGAAACTACTGAAAATAAAGCTATCGACTCAACGAACGCGCTATGATACAAGTCAAACTCGCCAATAGCACCCAACATCTTCCATTCCTAGATGACAATACTCGCTACACTGCTAATGGACTTTCTACTTAAAACATCGGCCACAACATTGGCCTTCCCCGGATGATAGTGTAACTCAAAGTCATAATCCTTCATAAACTCCATCCACCTCATCTGCCTTAAATTCAGATTGTTCTATGAAAACAGATACTTTAAACTCTTATTGTAACACTCTAGAATTTTTGCCCTCTGCTCGAGCACAAGGGTTGACACTCGAGTGATCTTGTGAGGCTCCTAATACTTTTGCAATTTGTCCAACATTCTAAGAATTGCGAATTTCCACTCGAGCGCAGGAGTGGTCGCTCGAGCGGTCAACTTTGTTGGTCCGTTCACTCGAGTGCAAGATTGGCTGCTCGAGCAGTTTGCCTGGTTGAGTCTAAATTTTTAGAACTAGTGGAATTGCTCTTGACATTTTTATTATTGTATTTGGAGCCTCCTTGTTTTATTTTGGGACATTGGTCAAAGTGGTAACATGATGGCAAGGTAAGATTAGACCAAAAACTTTGATTCGAATAATTTTTCTATGAACAACCATCACTCTTTTGCCTTTTTTCTTTTTCCACACTTTGAATTTGGGTGTGAGGCTAGAACCATTGAAAATCTTGTTTCCGGGGCTTCGATTTGAAAACAAGAACGACCTAAACTAGAGTCTAGATGAGAGAGTTATGTCCATTTGAAGTTTAAGTATCTGTGTTGGAGCTCGCATTCAACAACTTAAAAAGTGATTTTCTAGATCATTCTCTCCACTTTCCTTTTCTCTCTTCCTTCCTCTCATCCTAAGTCCAACAAACCCTAGATTTTTGACCAAAATACCTTCCATTCCCCAACGTTTTGGCCAAGAGCTCTTATCAAAAGTGAAGGCTTGAAGATCATACTTTTTACCGATTGAAATTTGGATTTTTTCGAAGGATTCTTTTAGAATCTTTGCTCTATTACTTGATCATTGAGGTAGGGATTTCTAGTTCTCCTTCAATACTCTCATTTATAGATAGATTTGTGATATTGTCTTTATATAAACACAAAATTTATATTTTTAAACATATTGTGATAAATCATGAGATTGAGAATTTAGGATTTGAAATGTTAGGGACTACTTTTTGGGTTATGATTATGGGTTTATGAAATTGCACTAAAAGAAATTGCACTTTTGCTGACTAAAAATTTGATCGGCAAAAGTCCATTTTTGGTCACCACTTTGGTCACCAATTGAGGGTCAGCAAAAGTAATTAACGACCAAAACTTTTGTTGGCCGAGAAAAAGTTTGATTTGCCAATTAAATTTTTGGTCATTAAATATATCATTATTGCGACTAATCCATTTAGTCGCCAAAATACTTTAGTCGCGAAAAGTAACATATTCTGACCAAACATGTTAGTCGCCAATTTCTCATTCCATGACCTTAGTTGCCAATTGTCACATTCCAAAACCAAACATGTTAGTCGCCAAAAGTCATAATCCACGACCAATAGATTAGTTGCCAAAAGTCACATACCACGACCAAACATGTTAAGTCGCCAAAAGTAATGTTTGTGCGACTAAAAGTTTAGTCGGCAATAGACTACTCCCGACCAAACTATTTGATTGCCAAAATTAATAATTTTACCAACTAATTATTTAGTCGACAAATGTATCCTTTTGTCTACCAACATTTTTGTAGGCAAAACCACAATTTGGTCGCCAACATCCAACAAAATAAACATGAAATTGATGACAAATATTTCATCCAATCCATTCAATATAATCTGTAATTAAAAAGAATCATTCATACCAACAAAGTATCTGAATCATGAACATTCAACGAAATACATAAATCATCCAATTCTGAACCTGTTTAATAAAAGCCAACAACTATTATAAGTTTCCACCCATAAGTAATTCCAAAGTACATATTCTTCCAAGTAAAATTCTGATTCACATCTTGACAGGCATAAAAATTTAAAACATAATTTGTTATTATGTTTTAAATTTTTATCCATGCATCGATCAAAAAATATAACTAGTAAAAATATAACTACTAGTCTATCCAAAAATATAACTACTAGTCTCTTGAAATATTTTCCATACACATCTATCTAAAAATAAATAATCCTTCCAAAAATGCTTATAGTGCCAATTAGTCCTGTACAATTTAGCTTCATGCACGAGTTCATCCATCTATACCAAAGAGAAAGAAAAAGAATATCAAGAATTAAGCAATCATTAAACCTTGTTTGTCTAAAATGTGGTAAAACACTTAAAATTTTACTTCCGAACTGGAGGGATAGAGCTCCTCCCCAAAAGACCACATAGATGGGATTTGAGAATTAGTCACCACAAAACTAAATCTTTGTTTGGATGCTTCTAGTAGATTGTCCAATATTATATATTATTATTCAGAACATGCAAACATGTTCCCTGCCATACCACATTATTACTTGACATCAAACCAACCATCAGGTTTACATTGTGTAAGAATCTCAAAAACATCAGATGCAACTATTTTTGCTAGAAGAAAATTATATCGTTACTGAATACAAAAAAGGCATTCCCCTGCCAATTCATGCAAGTTAATTTTGTGATGAAAAAAACAAACATCTTAGAATGAGAACTCTAAATTCTCAAGAAGTCTACCCACCACTACTAAGGCCATAAATCTTTCTATTACACCATACGCATCACATTAACTAGACATATGATAGTTTGACCCACCATTTAAATAAGCTTAGACTTCTTTTATTTTTGACAAAAGCATGGATGTTGGCATTAACCAGTCAGCAACACTTACGAGGAAAGGGCCACTTATTTTCTCACTCAAGTGCCCCTAGAGTCAATTAATTGGCACAAGAGCCCATGCTTACCTACAATTTTTCAAAGTTTGCACGGACAGTATGAATTTAGACACTCCATGGACCTCCAACATCTGTAAAAAACAATTCAGCCAATTACAATTTATACGATACACAATATTTAAATTTTCTTTAAAATTTTCCAAACAAAAAGTAATTGAATTTATTTTATAAAAATTAATATTACTAGAAAGGTTTATTAACTTATTAAAAACCGCAACACTTGCGTGGGGCCATCTACACAAACTTCATACCCCACATTCACCAACTGCAAGCCAATTGATTCACCAAAACTACTTTTTTTTCTGGTCTCTTGGGTTTTTATCCGAAGGCAAATAATTTATAATTAGATCAAACACCAAAAACTTACAACGGAAACATTACCTATAAACTCTTTAACACACTTCCAATTACAAGGTGGTGAGTTCTCTCTCAACACCTGAGCAAGATAAAAGTCCAACTAACTATATTACCAATTGTACATAGGAAATATATCTTTCTCAAAATGCAGCGGGCTCAGCATCCTCAAGAGTGTTTAAACTGAAAAAATAAAAATAAAAATAAAAATAAAAATTCCATACTAGACATAGAAATAACTCGCTTCATGTGTAATCCCAAAGATGTTAATACTCCTTTTGTCCCAATATATTAGTCCCTTATCCCATTTTTCATTGTTCCAAAATATTAGTCACTTTTCAAAAATCAAGGAATACAATAGGAGGTTTGAGAAATTCTATGACTATGTTATTCTACTTTCATGAGTAATCAATTTCTATGACTATGTTATTCTACTTTCATGCATGGCTATGATTGATTGTTGTAGCCACAATGCATTGCAGGGAAATATATCACACTAAATTAGTTCATCAATGAATTGCAAGTGGATGACAGCAGTATGAATCACCAGCCATAACTCTAATATACTTTTTAAGTTATTTCCAATTTCAAAGGGTTAGAATATTGAACATGCATGATGAAAGGGAATCCTAACCTAACAACAAAAAAGACCAAGTAAAACTTACCAGGAGATGGAGCAAAAACACCAAATTATAGCTGGTTTGGTCTTGGTCAAAAGAGAGCAACTATTGCATACCTGATGATCAAGAAACCACAATGAAGGTGGTTTGGGTTTGAAGTCCCTGAACTACTTATTCATGTTCTGTTTTGATAGATAATATGGGAATTTTGGCATTTAATTTGCTTTGCCATTGTGTGCATGCATGTTTGTGTGTAGTGTGTGTTTCAAAGCTAGGAAGAGTAACATACTAAATATATAAAAAAAATTGTACAAGACGAAAAGAGAATATAAAAAATCCAAGAATACATTTGAAAAACAATGAACAATGAGCATCAAGCAATTTATTCAGCAATTCATGCTTCCAAACAATAAGATAACGAGAAAAAGGGGCATCTCTTTGACTAGTACCTGGATAATGCACTGTCACAACTCAGTGCATGAGATAATAGCAATATAAACATACCCAGGGCTGGATGAACAAAGCATACCAAGGTAAATGCAATCAGTGCAGTAACAAGTAATGGGTTCACCCTTAAAACCCTTAACACCTGTTCCATGAACAAGTTAGATCACAAAGAAAAAAAAAAAGGAGACGTAGAGACAGAGGCTGTAATAGAGTTAATACAACCAATAAATATAAATGTTGAAGGAAACTTTAAAACAAACATCTATACTAGCCTAATTATACAACACTGAGCTAGAAGTAGATAAGTGTGTTATAAATGGGAACTTACCATGAATGATAAAAAAACTAGAACTTACCATGAATGACAAAAAAGACGATGACAATGGAGAAGCCAACAATATGCATAAATCAGTCCCATAAAATGAATAATAAAAATTGATAAGCTTTAGAATCTTGTCAAATGACATCAAGAAAATTCAGCGGCATTTTGAACAAGCTAACAACTGAGAAGTATTCGTATGCATATAACAACCAATAAGTTTAGCACTAATCTGTAACAGATAAGCTAACATAACTAAATATGTTCATATAAAATGTGCAACCCTGACTATATAATTTGGTTGCCAAATATATAACATAACTAAACACCATAACTAAAATGTTTTCATGTTTATCAGTTGGGTTTGCATAAAACACAAACATATAAGAATTTCAGGCCAGAAAACACAACAAAACAATGATCAATATATTTTCTATGTAAGGAAAACATGATAAATCCCAAAACTAGACTAGCCACAAAGCCAACATCTGTAAAAATAAAATAAAATAAAAAATCACCAAGACCTATAACCTCAGTCCTTAGATCATCCAAACAAGAAATTTCCCAACAAACACACACACAGGCACACACACGCACATATATAGACACACTATATTTATGCAAGAACATGAAACCAAAAGAATTGAATAACAGTTAGCAAGACCGGATCAAGAAAATGCATATTGGGCCAACAATAAGAGAACTAGAAAATGCATATTGGGATCAAGAAAATGCATATTGGGCTCACCTATTTAGGAGAACTAGGTTCTAGAAAAGAAAAGTAATAACCCCCAAAGAACACAAAAACAGAATCCCCAAAAACCTAATTCCAACCCTTAAATGAACAATTTTTCTTCTTCAACATAATCAAATTCTAAGAAAAATAGCTCCCCTGTATCACACCTCAAGAACACACAAAAATTTGTTCGCAGACAATTAAACCAAGTTCTGAATCATCAAATTACTGCACTTAACATCATCAAATCGAAACAAAAAATAAAAAATAAAACCCATCAATCATAACTCACAACAAACACAAATTTCCCCAAAAAATACTCTAATTTCTATACACAAAATGACCAAGTTCACCTTTTCTATGGAATCAAACGTCAACAACAACAAAACCCATAATTCTTACCTCATATAGAGAGAGGTGTTGATTGGAGCAGAAAATCACAGAGATCTGAGTGCTCAAGAGATTTTTAGCTCACGAAATCGAATCTGATTCAACTGTTAGACATGGTCTGTCTGTCTTCACTGTCGACGACGGATATGTGTTGATCGCTCATGACGGTCAGATCTCGACCTAGGACTCAAATCTTACTCAGATCTCGATGGCGATGTGCAATGTCGCATGGCGGTGAGCGATGGTGAGATGAGCGGATCGCGGTGAGGCGAGGTGAGGTTTGGTAGTGTTTGATTTTGTGAGTGTGTGTGTGCGCGCGCGCGCGTGTGAGAGAGAGAGAGCAAATGAGAACCTGTTTGTATTCCAAACAGATTTGATACAAATAAAAAATATAATAAACAAAAATAATGGCGCAAATCTGAAAATTTTCCTCAGTTCAAAAAAAAATCTGAAATTTTTCTTTTTATCTTTGGCGACTAAAATATTTTTTAGTTGCTAAAAATATATTTTTAGTGATCAAATTTTTGGTCGCCAAAGATAAAAAGTAATTTTTAATTTTTTATTCGGTGACTAAATAATTTTTATAGTCAAAATAAATTTTTGACAACCAAACTTTAGGTCGCAAAAAATAAAAAATAAATTTTTGTATTTCATTCGACAACTAAATAATTTTAGTAGCCAAAACTAACTGTATAGCAATTAAAATATTTTTTAGTCGCTAAAAATAAATTTTTAACGACCAAACTTTTGGTCGCCAAAGATAAAAATAAATTTTTGGGTTTCATTCGGCGACTAAATAATTTTAGTAGCCAAAATTAAGTATACAATGACTAAAATATTTTTTAGTCGCTAAAAGTAAATTTTTGGAGACCAAACTTTTGGTCGCCAAAGCTAAAATGTAAATTTTTGTGTTTCATTCGGCGACTAAATAATTTTAGTAGCCAAAACTAACGATACAACGACTAAAATATCTTTTAGTCGCCGAAAATATATTTTTTGTGACCAAACTTTTAGTTGCCAAAGATAAAAAGTAAATTTTTGTGTTTCATTCGGCAACTAAATAATTTTAGTTGTCAAAACTAACTATACAGCAACTAAAATCTTTTTAAGTTGGTGAAAATATATTTTTTGGCAACTAAACTTTTGGTTGCAAAAAATTAATTTTTGCAAAAAAATTACTTTAGTCAGTAATAGTATCAACTTTTAGCTACGAATTTTTTTTTTTTGGTCGGCAAATGTCATTTTTTTACGACTAAATTTTTTTTAGTCGGCAAAAGTGGTCGGCAAATGTGCAATTTCTTGTAGTGTTGGGTGTATAATTAATAGAAGAGTTGGAATAAAAAGTGTTTGGGTGAGAAGCTTTAATTTCTCTTAAAACACTAGCTTGGTACATGAAGATGATTGATGGTTTTGCCTAAAATGAAAATAGAATCATGAAATTGATGTGTTAAAATACAAGTTTAATTGAATTTTGGAAGTGTTTGGAAATTATGTAAAAGTTGCGATTGAACTCTTAGTGTGGATATTATAAATCATGTTATAATATGAAACCAAATTTAGGGGAAAGAATTAGTAATGGTATGGATGACAAGAGCATTGTGTTGAAATGAAGAAGTGGAGACTTAAGATTTTAGCTTGAATTATGTTGAATTGCATTGAGTGGTGTTGAATTGAATTGTGTTGAATTATATTGAATTTTGTTGAATTTTCACCTTGCTCGTTTTCATTTTTCAAAAAACACTTTTCAGAAAATTCTAATCTCTTATTTTTTGTGTTTTTTTGTTTTTACTGAATTTTTTTAATATTTTAAACAAATTTTTTACTTTTTAGACACACCTAACATAAATACACCTAAAAAGTAAAAAAATTATAAAAAAAAAACCTTTTAAAAATTCACTAAATACCAAAAATACCAAAAAAAAAAAACAAGAATTCAGTACATTTTTTTATATTTTTATGTATTTATTAATTTTTAAAAATATTTTTTCATAATTTTTTTTACTTTTTAGATACATCTAAGTAAGATGCATCTAAAAAAGTAAAAAAAAAAATGTTTAAAATTTTAAAAATATTCACTAAAAACAAAAAAATACGAAAACCAAAAAACTTAGTTTTCAAAAAACTTAATCTAGAAAACTCAAACCAAACACACTGATTAAGTTGTGTTGGGTTGTGTTGAGTCAAGTTGTGTTGAGTTGAGTTGGGTTGTGTTGTAGTTGGTACCACGTGGGGAGTCAAAAATGTCTTTCGATGCCCACGTTCGTCCGTATAAGAGCTGGTGAATGTGTGGGTGGTTTTAAATTCAAGGTACCTAATTGCGCTATCTAGGCTTATCGCTAGACAAATGTGGGAAAAATATTTTTGAGTGTTCACTAGTCCTGTCGTATTAATAGCCAGAAAAAGTGGGAAAACGAATGATTTTGGGTGCCCACGTCCTGCCGTACGACAATCGGTAAATGTGGAAAAACATGGTTTTTGAAAAAGTATGGTTTTGAGAAAATGATTTTTGGGAGTTCACTTCCCACCGTATAATAGGTGGCAAAAGGTGGATGGTGTTAAGAGTCGGGTGCCCATCATCCCGGCCATATCAAGTTGGCAAACGGTGGAATGTGTTGAGAAATCTATTGAGTCGGTGATAATATGTGTGAACTGTGATGAACTTATGAAATTACAATCTGATGTGTACTTTGGTACGAAAAGGAAACGCATATAGAAATTATTTGAAAAGAATGGATAAAAAATTATTAACTAGGTAAGGGGTTAGTGATAATGAACTCACCGGGTTGTATGTAACTGTATGGGAAGATTATGAGTTTTGTTTGTAAATAATTGAGAAATTAAATTGAAATGGGTTTATTAATCCTGTGTTGTGTTGAATAATAATTTGAGAGTGCAAAAGTTTATGTGATGTAGTTGTTAGACAAGTAGAAGTTGAGTGTAGGAGAATTGTTTTGAATATAAAGGAGATTTGGATTTTTATGCTATGGAGATATAGCAATAATGGATAGACAAGTGGGAATGGAGTGTATGAGGGTTATTTTTTGAGTATTAAGGGAACTTGAACTTTGAGGTTATGGAGTTATAATAATTGGGAATAATAAAAAGGAAAAATGGAATAAAACGAGGAATATTTTACAATTGGGTTAATAAATTTAAAATGATGTTGTTCTTTAAGCATATTTGTTTTCAAAGAAGATTTATGGTTTTACTGATGATGGGGGATAATTTTATGACTGAAAATTTTCCTTAAATGTTTAAATAAATTTTAAGATAAAGGTACTCTACGTGTAATATTTTGAAATTACAAACGTCATCTTACAATATGGTATCACCCTGCAGGCATGATCATTTATATCTGTGTGTTAGTTATTATTGTAGAACTATGAGATTTCTACTAGGCAATTGTGTTCATCCCTTGTTGTTTTAATTTTTTTTTTTTACAATAAGATAATTCGGATTTATTGGTTGGAGAGTTAAGAAGTCCATGTGCCTCTTATATGTAATTTCATCATAGGTGTGAAGGAAATGAATTTTGTACTTTGATATTTGTAATTATTTATTTGTAGCTTCGCAATGGAAGCTTGGCATGTATTATTGTTATTGTTGCATTCATTAATAAAGAGAACATATGTTATTATGTTTTTATTACTCACGGGAAATAGATATTTATAAAAAATAAAAATTAAAAAGACCTAAATTAAAGGCTTTTGGTAATGTTTCCGAGTAATTAAAACTTGGGGCGTTACAAATGGTATCAGAGCTAACCGGGTTTGAAAACCTGGAGCTCGTGGGAAGTGGTTTTTACCACAATGGGTTGGCTTTGCTTGGTGAGGATGTTTGCATGTAGAAGTAGAAGGTGTAGGGCATTATGTGTTGCATGGGTTGAGCTTCATGGATAGTGCTTGTAGCCGGCTAACTTGCTTTGAGATCTCATTGGAAACGCGTCTGATCAACGTGGTTTCCAGTGAGAGTTCCTTGGAAGTTCCCGGACAAGTGGCCATCCTTGTAGACCTGACTCGAATTATGTGGTTGTTTCTTAAAATTGATTATGTGTCGTGTGATCATATGTTAAGCTGGTTTGTGTCTTGGTAGGTAGTGTGAATGTCTCAGGAAAGGATTAGAGTTCGATTTATTGATGTTTGATGTTGTCGGCTCTAAGCAACTCAAGTACAATTCGCAAGTGTTCCTCATGTTCCTCATCAGAAGATGAGTAAATTAAAACGTCATCAACAAAGATTCGGTTCATCAAGTCCATAAACAAAGCCAGTGCATTGGTTAGACTAAAAGGCATCACTAGGAATTCATAATAGCCATACCGCATACAAAATGTCATTTTTTTGGATATCCTCCTCCCTCACTCTCAACTAATGATAGCCCGATCTCAAGTCTATCTTGGAGAAACAACATGACCCCTTCAACTGATCAAACAAATCATCTATACGAGGCAATGGGTGCTTGTTCTTAACAGTTACCCAGTTCAACTTTTGATAACCAATATAAAGTTGCAATGCACTATTTTTCTTCTAGGGCAGATAAAATCATTATCTAACAATTCTTGGAGTTAAATATTCAACTCACTCAACTCAGCGAGTGCAAATCTATATGGTGCTATAGAAATCGGTGCCATGCCATACACCAAGTCAATAGAGAACTCAATCTCACAGTGAAGTGGTAAACTAGTGAGATCCTCAAGAAAAACATCCGGGTATTCACAAACTACACTTAGCAAATCAATTCGGACTCCATCACACTCACTACCAAGAAGGTTGCAAGAAGACAACTAAGCTTACTCTGACCTCGTGGATCATACACTAACGACAAAACTTTATCCACTCGGTCCTCTAGAAAATAAAAACAATCACCACTCAAGGTGTATACAGTGACCCTCTGACGGTAGCAGTCTATAATGGCCAGGTACGAGGACAACCAATCCATGCCCAAGATGGCATCAAAACACGACATATCAATTAATGCAAATGAAAAAGGAAGTTGGCGATCGACAACCTTATCACAACCCCAACACCCCTAGTCCAAAACAACTTTACCACCAATATGTGACTCTACCTTGAGTAGAGATGCTAACCGAGCCACTTCTAACCCCAATGCCAATGCAAATGCAGATGAGATAAAAGAATGTGATGCACCAGTATCAAGCAACACATTGGCAATAGAATTTCATAACAAGAAAGTACCTCTCACAACTGAAGGCATTGACACTAAGTCTAGCATGGCAACAACATACACACGCCCCATAGGTCTCTGCTAGCAGATGAAACAAACCGTTGCCCTCATCCCCTTTGCGGGCAAGCTGGAGACTTGTGGCCTAACTGGCCACACTTAAAGCAAGTGAAATCT